GTATGAATGCTAGTGTAAATTTTGTCCTGCTACCATGGAGTTATTCCCATCTCTGTTACAATTCTTGAGAATAGATTGGGATTGGTTGTAGGCTACTATGAGAAAGGCCCACATGGTATTTATGTGGAACCCAAGCTTCAGCTGCAACCTAATTGACTGGGAAATTTACTTTCTTGATTCTTTACTTCAAAAATTCCTAAGGAAATTCTCTGACTGTGGAGGAACTGGATATAAGCAATTGGGATTCTTCAGGGATGTTTTTCAATCTACTCCTTTTATAAAAGACTAACTTACTAGAAGAGGCATCCATATACTTCTCTAGCTCAATCAATTAGTTCTTTGATTTTTAGCATTTGAAGAATCTTACCAAAAATGGGAAGCACATGGACCATCTTCCTGTTTGTGATTTTTTGGCTAGATTGGAACAAAAGAAACACTCATATATATGAAAATCCCATTTTGACACAGGAAGCAATCCTTCGAAAGGTTAGGAGCATGCTTAACTCGTGACTATCCCATCTGCAAGGAATTCAAAGAATCCCCTTCCTCTTTTTTTCTGATTATGATTCTTTGTATGTTTTTATGTGATTATTTCAGATTAATACATTTGTTGTATATAGTCTCTTTTGTATGTGCAACTGGTATATTTTGCTTAATAGAATTATACTTTACCTTTCAAAAAACAAGTTGGTTGGATTTTAAATTTGGGCGAGGCCCAGTTTTCCATGCTTGCTAATGAAAACTAAATATTTTCTGATCCAAGAGAATGAGCCCCTGGACTAATTATTCTAGATTCTAAATCTTCAAAATTAAATTTCTGACTTGCTTCTTTGTAGACTATTTTCCAGTTCTGTCAGTAATTGGATGTTGCCAGCAGTGTTATGATCCATGTTGCCAACAGTGTTAAGAATGTAATTAAGTGTTGACTAGTCTTTTTGACCTCTCTAGTCAATGCAATGACCAGCTAGTGCCTGATGCTGACCAGTCGACTAGAGAAAAAGATAGGTTCTACATTTACTATATTGATGCTGTCTCATAAATAAGAAAATATGGATTGCAAATATGCAATAAAAGAGTGATATTAAAATTTTACTTTAGCACACCATTGAGTGGAAGAAAACATAAAAGAACCTCTCTTCCACTTTCATATTATGCCTTCTTTCTGTTTGATGCTCCATCAACCATGTTCCATCACTAATACATGAAACAACAGCATGCATATAACATGTAAAAGCATTACTATATTATTTTAAATAATCAGAGATAAACACAAACAAATAAAGCTTTAAAATTAACTTTGTGATCTGCTATTTGACCTATTCACTAATTGACTATTCAACCTACTTGATGCTTAGTCATCCCAGGCAACTACAGTGTAGTTTGTCTGGTCCTCAACTGGATAGTTGACACTTTGATAACGCGGTTGCCAAGATGGAAATATGTTTTTACCTATTCAGATTGTGTCTACTATGCATACACATCTCGGAACTTAACTTCTATTTCTTAGTGAGTAGCTCTCTTTTTGCCAATTGGCATTGCATCTTCAGATTGTCTCGCTGTGACATGCTCCCCACAACCTTATTCTGCTTGGTGCATAGGTAACTACCCTAGAACCAGTTTATGGCTGATTTTATATTCTTTAGCATGGAAAAATAACTGACCAAATATTGGTCTAATAAATGAGAAAGTGACCAAAACTCATGCAGCCACATAGGCAATTCACATGATGGCAGGTCTGAGGATTTTGCCTGAACCTCCAGCAATGTGGTTGATACAATCTCCTCTGACATATCTCATTCAGATTCAGCATAATAAATTCACATGAGTTCCAACATTGTCCTGTTCTCTCATTTAATTCATGGGAAAGACCAGGGGTTTTCCCCCTTGTTCCCCACAAGAAGTTGTTTGGTTCCAAAATGAATGCACCCCCTCCCAAAAAAGACAGAATAAACATCTCTTATTCTATAATAAGAAACCTTAAGCCACCAAGGGTTTGGGTATGTTACTAATGTATTGTTTGATTTTCTAGAAAGATTCTTTTCCTTTTCTAAGTGTTACCCAAGATGATTAAGCTTATATAATATGTTCTTGGTTGATTGTTTTTATTTACCATTTTTCTTCTATGATTTTAGGTGTTTTGCATGTAGTTGAGGTGATTGTATGGTATCAACATATTGTATGATTTGTATCAGGGTTAGACTATGACTTTATTGGCTTTTTCTATGTTCTGAATGATTAAAGTTTTATCAAATGACTATTTGTCAGGAATATAAGGAATATATAGGACTTATTACAGCTCTCATAAGCTGAAGAAGAATTATTGGTTTGTGTGGATATGCTGCAGAAAATACAAATTTTAGTTTTTATTTAACATAAATTTATTAAAATAATTCATAACATATGTTTAAAATGATGGTGAAGCACAAAATAGTGCTTAAGTAGTTCTAATATGGATTTCTCATAAATGTCAATCTAGGAACTAGGAAATTGTTTTGAATGAAGGGAGAGGCATGCTAAAAGATGTTCTTCAGTGAGAGCAGCCAGATATTGTTGTTTTACCAAGTAGAGGGTTGATAATTGATTAATTAAAGCTATTTGGGAGATCAGAAATAAAAAATGAGCTTTTCTTCCTTCTGTGGGTGCTTTGGGTGGAATAATCATAATATGAGATGAATAAGAGACATCAGGAATTATAGATATATAGTGGATTTGTCTAATTCTAGGTGTCAGTGATTTTCAGTAATCAAATAGATTGGTTCACTTGGATTTTCACTGGTGTATATGGTCCCATCACACCACATCGGAGAGTGGGCATTCTGAGGAGCTGAGCTCTAAAGATGCAGATTAATTACCATAATGTATGGAAGGTGACTTCAATGTCACCAGATTCATGCATGAGAAGCTTAATGGGGGAGAATTACTCGTAGCAAGCATAACTTCTTAGAATTTTTTTTGGGCATAGTCTCAAAGGAATTATACTTAAGAACAGAATGGGAAGGAAAATACCTGAATCTCATTTAGTGAACATTGTCAAGTTCCACATCAAAACCATGTCTGTTCTACTACAGACGGATAAAATTATTAGGGGAAGGCAGTAATGCATGGACTCTCCTAAATGGATTAAGTGTCTGGGATACACATCCAATTCCAACAGTATGAATTTTCAAGGACACTTCTACTAACATTTTCCTTTCTCTCCTTACTTATTTGACATAAATGAACGGCTAATGTGCAAACAATTCACATTTTCCAGTAAAATGACTAAACCTTCTTATAGGTATATAATATTAGAATTCAAAAAAGTATGGCCTATTTTAATATTTTGTACTCTTTCTAGATGTATTTGTGAATGTTTCTTTCTCCATCCTGCTGAGTTAGACTCCTGGACATGCATTGGATTTTGATTTCCATGTCTATTCCATGCAACACTAGGGAAAGACCCCCTTTCAAATTTGGAAAAAAAAAATGTGAAAGGAGAATCACAAGTTATATGATGGAATTGAAGATTGGTGGAGAGAATGCAATGTAGAAGGATTGCCCAGATACTGATTTCTCCAGAAGTTTTAGTTTACTTAGTAGTTAAAGAGTGGAAAACTCAAGGAAATTGAAGGATTTGATGCTAAAGAAATTGCTGGCATACTTGATGATGAAAGGTGTAGGACACAAGAAGCAGAAGAAACTTTGGGGCTACCTTGCTTTTCTGTTAGGAGACGCTTGGGCATTACTTTCCTCTTGTATCCCAGTATCTTCTTTTTCTATTAATGAAGTTGCTTGATCATACCTCTATCAAAAAAGAAAGTATCTTGGGATAGTCAACATTGCTGCTTATTTCCTATCAATGTTCCAAATTCCAGCATGCATTAGGAATTGTATTGAGCATCTAAGAATCTTTTTTTTTCTCTTTTTGGGATGAACGAGAAGAAAAGGACCACCTTGTAAAATGGGAATAGTTTATATGCCTAAGAAGGATATCTAGGATTAGTAGTTTCTAATTTTCTATATAAAATTTATTCATTCACAAACTCGTAACCTGCCCTTAATTTAGCGATGCAACTTTTAGGACTTGAATTAGTTGTCCATGTTAACAAATTGGTATTGTCTTATTATGCCAGATTAGGAATTAGGATGTCAATATTCAGGTTAACAGTTAGCCTCAAGATAGCCTACAATTTCATCAGAGCATACAGTAAAATTTTGGTTACCACCTAGGTTGTTTTATCTATGTAAATATGGGAAATTCTCCACCAACTCTGAGGGTGATGATCCTGCTAATATGTTTCCTTTTGTTGTTTGTATAAATTTTGGAAAGCTATTACTTGACATGAGTAGAAGGCAAGAAAGGCTATGGGATTGTATAGAGGACCCATGCTCAAGTATCTTGGCTTCTCTTAGAAGTAAAAAAAGAAAAAAAAATGTGCTACTTTTTTTCTATTTTAGTAAGCATTCATCTTTTGTTGACCTTGGGCATATTTTTTGTTTTCTTCATACTTACATGTTTTAGCCCTTATTCTAAATGTAATTTGGAGAAGTTCACAATTTCTTAGTAATCTATCTTATCAGCTAGGAAAAAAATAATAGTTTATCGTGCTTGGATCAATCTACCCATGGCACTGATGGGATTGCAAGCAGTACTATCAACCTTCCTTTGCAAGATTTTGAAAAGAACAATGAATACTGGTTACTAAGGCTCAGTTTGCAAAGAATACAAATACAAATGTGCAGTGCAAAACCTTGCATATTGTATTGCAAACCTTTGATTTTCACTGTACATATTTGTATTTGTACTCTTCCCAAACTGGGCCTAACGCTCAGTTTGGAAGGGATACAAATACAAATATGTAGAGTGCAAAACCTGGTATCTTGTATTATTTTGTATGTATTTGCACTGAACATATTTGTATTTGTACTCTTCCCAAACTGGGCCTAAATGATTAAAATTCATGAATGAGAGAACAAGATGCCACTGTCTCAGCATAACCATTTCATTTGCTCCTTTGCAGGACCCTTGTCTCTGTCAAAGGATTCAGATAAATTTGAATCCATTTTAAAAGTCTCAAGAAATACCTTCAACTACATCTGTTCACTCGTGAAGGAAGATATGATGGCAAAGCCATCAAACTTCGTGGGTACCAATGGCAAGCCTCTGTCAATAAATGATCAAGTAGCGATTGCTCTAAGAAGGTTAAGCTCTGGTGAATCACTACTAACCATTGGTGATTCATTTGGAATCAACCAATCAACAGTCTCTCAAGTAACCTGGCGGTTTGTGGAGGCTATGGAAGAGAGAGGACTCCACCACCTACAGTGGCCTGCCACAGAAGCAGAGATGGCAGAGATAAAGTCCAAGTTTGAGAGAATCCGTGGCCTCCCAAATTGCTGTGGTGCAATTGATACCACTCACATCATGATGTGCTTGCCATCAATGGACTCCTCAAACAATGTGTGGTTTGATCGTGAGAAGAACCACAGCATGGTTTTGCAGGCAATTGTGGACCCTGAGATGAGGTTCAGGGACATAGTAACTGGATGGCCGGGGAGTATGAATGAGTCCATGGTGCTCCGGAGCTCGGGCTTCTTCAAGCTTTGTGAGAAAGGAAAGAGGTTGAATGGAAAGAAAATAGAGTTGTCTGAGGGATCAGAGGTGAGAGAGTACATAATTGGGGATGTGGCATTTCCGCTTTTACCTTGGCTTGTGACACCTTACCATGGGAAAGAGCTTTCAGAGACCAGGGCTGAGTTCAACAAGAGACACTTTGCCACCCGGATGGTTGCACAGAGGGCTTTGGCAAGGTTGAAGGAAATGTGGAGGATTGTTCAGGGGGTAATGTGGAGACCCGACAAGCATAAATTGCCAAGGATAATTCTTGTTTGTTGTTTGCTGCACAACATCGTGATTGATCTGGAGGATGAGGTACAAGATGAGATGCCGTTGTCTCACCAACATGACTCAGGTTACCGCCAGCAGACATGTGACTCAGTTGACAAGAACGCCTCAGTTCAGAGAGACAAGCTTTCTCTCTACTTATCTGGAAGGTTGCCACCTTAAAAGTGAGTTTTTCATTCAGTCATCAAGGACAATGTATTGATCAATTGAGTGAGTGGTCGAGATTCCCTAGTGTTTGAGTTTGTGGTTAAGATTGGTATAGGTTTATTTTATTCTTTATATTTCTCAAGGACTGGTTGTGACGGGGGCCTATTGTTGGCAACCATGACTCCATCTCCATGAGGAGTAATTTCTTTTAAATTCTGGCATGTACAGACTACAGTGTGTAGATGTAGGCGGTGCATTGTCATATTATATCATTCACAAGACTAAAAAAAGGTAGTGGCTGAGGAGGGGAACGAAAATGAGGTTTTCCAGGACAAAAATTGAATTCCTTCCCAGCATTGTGAAGCTTGTTGTTCCATTGTTGCTGCCTGCTGGGACAATTTTGATCTGCCATTTCCCTCCCTAACGTAAGGAACCTTTCATTTCATCCATTTACGTCTGCTTGAATGGTTTGGAATCATGCAGGTGGATAAAGTTGGATCAGTGATGTGGACCAATTTGATGTGCCAATTAACGACAGTCCCGGTGGACTCTAATAACATCTTCCCATGAATGACAACATACAAGTATGTGAGATGTATTTGCGGCTGTGTTATCCTGGGGGTATGATTCCAAGAGACCCAGATTTGAGCATCCAGATGGACTTCATTCTATAAATTTGTGGTTGTTTCCGTTTCCCATGCCTAATGTGTAACGATTTCAGAACCCCCATTCTGGAATCTGGAGGGTAAAAAGGTTGAACTTTGGCGCCTTGGTTTACATTCAGGTTGAGCTTAGGCATCCAAGTCCAGATACCATACCCCATCCCCATCTCGTTGGTTTTCATATGTAGATGTAATTTGGTATGGCCAGGGAATGGGGATCCCATCCCCAAAGGCTAATGTGTAGTGTACATCCCCCCAATTCTGTAGATCAAATACATGTATACTATTGCCCAGATTTTTTTTTCCTTTTCTGTAATCTCTGGCCCACTTTACTTCTAAGGAAAGTGCTGGGCTACGGATGTTTTTGGACCTTGCATTATTGCCTAAGCCTGGGCTTTGATTACTGAAAGTCTGAAACCGTCCCGCCTGCCCACTGTTAGATCTTTTGACCCCAACACAAACCAAAATGTTCCTATTCCCTTGCTTGTCGAGTGATTTGAGACGGTCGATGGTTATGGAGTTGAGGATGGAAGCAAAGTAGGAAAATTTTGCCATAAGTACCCTCTACTTTGGGCCCAGTGTCTCTTTGATCTCCGAATTTTTAAAACGTGCCAATCTAATATCTAGTATCTACCATTAACCAGCTGTTAAGTGACATTTGAAAATACACAAATATCTGTCAAGTGTCATCTAATTCTTTTTATCAACTATCCAAACGTTGGCAAAAAATGAACAGTCCCAAATCCTTACCTCTTCTATTCAAGAAAGTCGGGGTCACATCTCAATGGGCATTCTGGTGATCCCAACTTTCTTGAATAGAAAAGATAAGGATTTGAAACTGTTCATTTTTTTTTATCAATGTTTTGAATGGTTAATAAAAAAAATTAGATAACACTTGAAGGGCATTTCTGTATTTAATGCCACTTAACAGTTGGTTAACAGGCTAGTTGACGGTAGGTATTAGATTGACACGTTTTGAAAGCTTGGGTACTGAATTGTTGCGTTTTAAAGTTCAGGGACCGAAGTGACGCCAGGCCCAAAGATGAGGAATTTTCCCTACAAAATACAAGGTTTTGTGCTCTACATATTTGTATTTGTACTCCTTCCAAATGAAGCCTCAAAGACAATAAATTCTGGTTCGCATAGTTTCTCGGTGTATGGGCTGATGCTCTTCAGGTAAATCTCAAAACAATTTATAGAATCACACACGTTTCAGAAACCCTAATGTTTCACTTTTCCTCCCTTTTTGTTTCTCCCGATTAAGTCACGTATTCCCCCTGCAGAAGTAATGGTGATCTACAAGTTGGGATTCAATCTTGTAGCGAATGAGCTTTATAGGTGTAAAATTTGTCGAGTTCCTGAATGTAAACACTCATTAAGCTTGATTTTGAAGAATTAAGAACATACCAAGTCGGTGATTCTGTAAATCTTGTAGCGTTCTTTAATTTTGGATTTGTGTGATTTACCTCTACAACTACAAGCACTATTTCATTCTAAGCATCTTAACCCATTAAATGTATCGCAGCACTTCTGATTATGGGTTCATCTCATCCTTGAACTTCTCTCAGCCGAGTTTGAACTTATGATACAGTAAGCTTTAAATCCGTCAGAACCGTTGTAGTTTGCCATTTCTCGGTCCTTGATAAGCTTCTCATCAAAGACTGGGAATATACCTTGCTATAAATAATGTCCCGATTTATTCGATCTGTATATAATTGGATGAAATATGAATCTACCCATATCCGGTCTGATACAATCCGGTTTGATTCGATTTAAATATATAAATATATATATATATGCTCATATATACTTCAAAATTATATTATATAATTTATATCTATTACTGAAATTGGTCGTAGACAGTGTTATATTATCATTAAAATTGTTATTATGTTCAAGTTTTGTAGAAGTAATTCTCAACTCATTTTATTCATAAAATATAATATTAAAGACATTTTTAGCTCATCTTATTAATAATATAGAATATTTTGATCATTTTTAGTCTAATTTATTTATATTATTATTTAATATTCAATTATAATCCAAACTCGATTTGAATCCGCTAGATACCAAATTGATTGATTTGATTCAATCCCAATTCGAAGGTAAACAAATCAAATTTGGACATGGCTATAACTGATTGGATCCGATCCGTTTGCAGCCCTAGCCCCCTGATGTTCTATAGAAATTCTTCACTGGTTTCCAATAACCAGTGGCATTTTATTCGCAAAATGGGTAGACGTGGTTTTAAGGAGGATAGAAGCCCCTACGTATCCTCTTCCTCTGTTAAAAGACATGTGCCATTGACAATTTGTGACCCATGTGCCAAAACAAAACTGTGCAGTCAGTAGTCTTTTCCGGTTTTCCCTAGTCCAAATCTTGCTTTGATACAAGGTTCACCAGCTTGAGTCCATCAATAAGCTTCACCAAATCACCAGAACAAGATCAATCCTTCAGTAGTTAGTTATATTTTGAACTGAACCATATGTCTAACAGCTGGGCTGGCAATGTACAGCTGAGTAGTTCAACTCAACCATCTAGTTTCTGTAAGAGCCAACAAAAGAAAAAATGTTAAAGAATTCTACCCCTGACCTGATTCAACTTCATATCTCCAAGTACAACTACTATTGTTGCCTTTATTTCTTCCCTTCTCTTTAAAAATACTCTTTAATGTTCAAAGAGAAGAAAACCCAATTGAAGAATCTAAAATTTACAGACCACCAGCTGAACACCAACAAACTCTGTTAATGCAAGAACTAGAAAACGTCGAAAATAACCACACATCATTCCTTCATGCCCTGATTCCTGAACAACCACAACTATATTGCCTTTAACTCCTTTCGTGTACCTTACGTTATCCACTGTCTTTGTCCAATATTTTTGCTGAGGATTCTCCACCAACCGCGTCAGAATTAAGAAATGAGCTACAAATTTAGTCATATAGTGAAGAAGAATTAGAGAGACATAAAAAGGAACTCTAAATGTTCAGACTTCAGAGAGGTACCAGAGAAATCCCATTTGCTCCGCAAAGGCATTGCCTGCATGTTTTCTTAGAGTACGGACTACGTAGTACTTTGTTGTCAAAACTTTTGACAAAGTTGAACGTATTGTATTAGATGACAAGGGAAAAAGTCCAGAATACAAAATGGCTCCGAGCACAGTCGCATTTCAATATCAAAATTTACAGTAAGGATGGATCAAGACAATCCCAAGAACCTTTGACTCAGATGATCAGAACAGAAACATTTGAAAGAACCCCCAAAAAACCCTAAAAATTATGATCTTCCAAAATTACATTTTGTACTATGTTCTTCTACCCAAAAGGAGTCAAGGACCTCAGAAACAAAAACTGGACTGCAGACGGATCTACATTCTAAGAACTGGTGAACTTGGTGACAGCCTTGGTACCCTCAGATACAGCGTGCTTGGCCAATTCGCCAGGAAGAACAAGACGAACAGCGGTCTGGATCTCCCGAGAGGTGATGGTAGGCTTCTTGTTGTAGCGAGCGAGCCTGGATGCCTCCTGGGCGAGCTTCTCGAAAATGTCGTTGATAAAGCTGTTCATGATGCCCATGGCCTTGCTCGAGACCCCAATGTCAGGGTGGACTTGTTTCAGAACCTTGAATATGTAGATCTTGTACGTCTCACTGCTCCTCTTCGCCTTCTTCTTCTTCTTGTCACCGGCAGAGCCTCCTTCCTTGGGCAGCTTCTTCTCCGCCTTGGGCTTCTTCTCTGCCTTTGGCCTCTTCTCAGCTGGAGCTTTCTCCGCCACCTTCTCCTCCGCAGGCTTCTCTGCTGGCTTCTTCTCGGCGGGCTTCTTCTCGGCCTTGGGCGCCATTTCAAAGATAGTTACAAAGAGGGAATGAAACAAAAGGGAGCTTGGGCGGGAAACTAAAAGGAGATGGAAACGAGGAAAATGCGAATGAAAAGAACCGACGAGACTGGGAAGCTTATATAGACTTGAGGAGATGGAACCTTATTGGTTTTTGGGTTTTCACGCGGATCGCTGACTTGGCATCTCTTTCATCTGTTGGATTATTGTATTACACGGGACTGGAGGAGCACTAGTTGACGGTTCAGATGTGATACTGGGCCACTGGGGATTTCGAAACAAGAGCCTGCAACAAAGGTGTGGGACATGAATTTTTTAGTGACTGTAGTTCAAATCTCCGACCGTACACGTGGAGAGATCACCCCCAAGTAATTCATATACCCTTTTTTTTAATGGAAATTCATAACAATGTAATCACACACTCACAGTAAGACAGTAATACGTATATAATATGTATATTATAGTAAGATACGCAAAAATATATGGGATCTTTATGTAATCATACATATGCATTCGATAGCCAAAACTTTACACTTGCACAAAGGAAAACAAAGACATGTTGGATTCTTGGAGGGAATATTCAAATTATAATAATCTAAACTCTTTTCCTTTTGTTTTGTTTTGTAACCCCCTAAAAGCATGTGAAAGACTCATATCCTACATTATTAGCGTCCTTGCTTTTTTCAGGGCAAAATTAAAAATGTCATTTGGAGATATAATTTTTTTATGTCTATTTGGAGATATAATAATAAATTAATTTATTTTTAAAATAAAATAATTATAATAATATTATTATGAATATAAATAGCCACATAGAATCAGTCTTGAATCGATTATTTAATTGGGATCAAATCATAGTCATAGACCTCATTATATTGAAAACAATAGTCAAAATAATATTAATTTATTTTCATATTAATAAGTTAACATTTTTAACTAATATTATCTTATTTATTATTTATCAAACTTACTATTTCAAACATGAAACATGATAAAAAATACAAGAAAGATAAAAATTTATATATTTCATAAAATGTTTGGTTTCGAACCTGAATCAATTATGGACAAGTAAAAATGATAATCAATCCACTAATTAATCAAGGCAAAATCATGGAACCAAAACCGTTATAATTATGTTTAGTCAATTTAGCTCCATCAGGATAGACCCAACCCATTAGTTCAACCCTAGTTTTTCTTAAATAAATATTAAATAAAAGTCTATTGGGCTGGAACTAGTATAGCCTATCTCGAACCAAACCCAACCCGTTGATAACACTAAATATTGGGTTAAAGGGGAGAGAATAATTTGTTAGTAAATTATTTATAAATAAATAAATACATGTTTATTGAAATCTATCTCTTAATGTCACATCTCTCTTATTCTATCAATATATTTTATTAAAATAAATAATTTATTTAATTTTATTAAATAAATAAATATTTATATAATAATAATAAAATAAATAAAATTTGAGATGGAGAATATTTCTAAATAAATAAATAATTTAGTAAAATAAATAAATAAATGTTTATTGAAATCTATTTAATGGCATGTCTCTTTTATTCTATTGTTTTATTTTATTAAAATAAATAATTTATTTAATTTTATTAAATAAATAAATAAATATTTTGATAATAATAATAATAAAATAAATAAATGAACAAATAAAAGTTGAGATAGATAATAGGAGAGAGAGAGAGAGAGTTGAGAAAGAAGAGGAATAGCATTTTATTTATAGGATGCCATAATCATAAATAATTGTATGTGGCACTACTGTAATTTTTGAATGCCATTGAGTCTATTATATAAGGAGTTTTGTTTTAAATGTGGCATTGCTGTAATTTTTGAATATTATAGAAACAATTATATAGGAAGGCTTGTCTTATATGTGGCATTCTTGTAATTTTTCAAACAAAGAGAGAATAAAGAAGATAAGGGGAGAGAGAGACATGTGTCAATAATTTAGAGAACAAAAACATATAAATGTCAATCCCACAACGCTAACTATTAGGGTTGTTCATAAGAAGACCCAACCTGACCAAACCGACCAACCCGAACCGACCCAACCCGAGTTGGTCGGGTTTTCTTCAATACTAGTCGGTTTCGGGTTGTACAAAATTATAAACCGATGGTTCGAGTCGGTTTTGGTTTTCACACATGAAAACCGAAACCGGCCCGAACCAAACTGACTTAGTAGTTAGTAGTTACCACCTACTTAGTTCCTACTTAACTAAGTTGTCTCTATTAGACTTGTTCATGGGCCGGCCCGGACGGGCTTGAACAGGCTTTTTGGCCCGTGGGCTTAACCTCGAGCCAAAAAGCCCGGCCCGCATAAATTCGAGCCGGGCTTGGGCTTTGCCAAAATAGCCCGACCCGAGCCCGACCCGGCCCGACCTATAGTTAAACCTAAGTAAAAACCCTATGTGATGTCCATTTGAATAAATTTTTTGATTTAAGAAGGTTGTTGATTCACTTGTAAGCCCATTATTCATTTAAATAGGGGAAAAAAACATCTGAATTAAAATAGATAATGTCCATTTGAATAGGGAAAAATTCAAATTTCTTTTATTAGGTCGGGCTTCGGGCTCGGGCTCAGGCTTCAGGCTTTTTATCATGGCCAGGCTTGGGCCCAAGTTGTAGGCCCGTTGGTCGGGCCGGGCTCGGGCCTAACATTTTTCTATTAATAAAGAGTAAAAGCCCGACCCAGCCCATGAACAGGTCTAGTCTCTATCCTAGTTACAACCTAACTTAATTTCTAGTCTTCTAGTTATGAATGACATTAATGGCAACTATTGTAAGACAACTAGACAAGGAATTTTTTTGGAAAAAAGTTTAAAGAAAATAATCGAAAGATCTGATTTTCTATGGTCTTTTGCACCAAATAGGCAACCAATTACAATTATAATAAGGTGTTATTTTTTACTTAGATTAGAAGGTTTCTTGAAATATATAAATTTCAGTCTTCTTTCTCTAATATAGTTTGACTTTCTATTTTCTTTATAACTTCTATTCTAACTTGGTCCGCCCCCCTTAGCCCCTCAACTCAAGCACAACCTCTAATACAATTTGACTCTAAAGCATGGTTGAACTTAGAGCCGAAACTGACCCAAACCGACCCAACCCGACTCAAACTGACCAGGTCGGTTTTGCTTAACGCAGGGTCGGTTTCGATTTCAATTTTAGGTAACCCGACCAGGTCAAGTTAGTTGAAAAAATATCAATAAACCGACCCAACTCGACCCGTGAATAGCCCTACTAACTACACCCTCCCAATGCTTTAAGTATATAGATAGATTTGGAAAAAGATTTGAACTAGAGTATATCACTAGAGTTTATAGGAAATGCACTATACACCATTCACATGCTTGTGGGGGTTTGGGGGTGCTATTTAAATTTGTTTGTCATTTTTTAGGGAAAATTCACAATTAGTACCATGTACTTTGGGCCTAGTGCCACTTTGGTACATCAACTTTAAAGGGCGCCAATTCAATACTTTAACTTTCATTCTTTCAAAATGTGCCAATCCAATACCTATCGTTAACAAGCTATTAAGTGGCATTTGAAAAGACACAAATGCTCATCGAGTGTCGTATAATTTACTTTATCAACCATCCAAATACTAATGAACAGTCCCAAATCCTTGCCTCTTCTATTTAAGAAAGTTGGGATCACGTCTCAGTGGACATTTTGGTCACCCCAACTTTCTTGAGTAGAAGAGGCAAGGATTTGAGATTATTCATTTTTTATCAATGTTTGGATGGTTGATAAAGAAAAATAGATGACACTTGAAGGGCATTTGTGTCTTTTCAAATGCCACTTAACAACTGATTAATGGTAGGTACTGGATTGGCACGTCTTGAAAGTCTAGGTGGTGAATTGGCACGTTTTAAAGTTTGGGGACCAAAGTGGCACTGGGCCCAAAGTACAGGGTACTAATCGAGAATTTTTCCTATTTTTTAACCTTCATTTTTGGTCTGTTCTTTCTCACTCTGTGTTTGTCTCTTCGAACAGGCGCCTTGCACACTGTTTTGGAGAGACCAAGGTTTAAAGTATGGAAAATACAAAGTGTATCGGAAAGACAATTTTAAGAAACATTTTGGGATTCACTTTGGATACGCATAGATATAGACAAAAAACTAAGATATGCATGGATATGCTATGAAGCTCAAATAAATCATAAAAAAATATGGTAAAAACAATAAAGTATAAGGTATATATGATCATAAATAAGTTATTCAAAACATAAAAACCTTAAATTAATGGTTCACATGAAGTATGAGAAATTGGGACATAATAGATAACTGTTGAGAAATGATGGAAAAACTAAAATGTGTGCATATAAACTTTAGTTTTTAGAAAATCAAACTCCTTTAATTTGTCTTAATATTTGTTAACATATAAATTTTAATAATCAATTTTAACATTTATTAACAAACATATAGGGGTGATCATTTTGGCCTGACCCAACTTGAAAATTTCAGATAGTGTCATAATATATATATATATATATATATATATATATATATATATAGAGAATNTATATATATATATATATATATATATATATATGCATAGTATACATTATTTAGGCGTGAGCTGACCCATAATCACTCTGATAAACACTTACTAAAAAGAAAAATAAAATCATTTAAGGATGAAAATGGATAATATTTAAGCACCAAAATGGATTTAGGCATAGTGGTAGACTCATCTGCATTGTAAATGTGTAATCAAGTTTGAATATTCTTATGGCCTGTTTTAGCTTTTACACGATTACACTTAAGATTATGTGCATTAGGCGTTAAAATGGTGTGTTTTCATTTTCCCTTCTAATTACTATTTATGGACGTGAATTTGCCATTTGACATGTCTCTCCTTTCCCCTTAGGGTACATTTGGTTTTTGCGACTGATGCGAAATGGGAATATTCCCATTAGATTATTATTTTTGGGTGTTTGTTTGCCGAGATGGGAAGGGAAACCGTGTGATGCCAATTTCCAAAATCAAGGATGCGGGGTCACTACCTCCCGTTTACAACGATTGAGTCTCCGACAACGCTCTCGACGAAGAATAGCTCTCTAGCGAT